AGCTTTCGAGTTGAAACTCACCCAACCTCTGGATTATCATTCATATGCAGAAGTCATGGCTGATATCTTTATATTTTTTTCCAATTTAACTTAAGTCTCTTTTTATTTGTTTTTAACTGATGAAGTTTACAAATAGTGGTCTCATCCTATTGAAGACTGTCATGATGCACTGTCCATGCGTATGCTTATATTTTTGTGTAGCTGATGTTAATGCATCTAGTGTAGGTTCATGCATTCTATCGATTTAGCATACCTTGCTGGCGATCTCGTAATTTCCAGAGCTGGTGCAATGACTTGCTCTGAGATATTGGCCCATGGGAAGCCTTCCATTCTGGTAATTTCTATTTTCTTTGTTTCAACTGCATTTTATGCACAAGCATGATATTTGTTTGATTAAATGATCAATTTTGATGGGAATACGTTATAAGCCAGTCGACTTGGCTTCTATTTCCTTGCTATACAAAATCACCCTGAATAGGAATTTCTCTGTTTTTCATGCTCATGACATCCAATTAGGTTGCTTCAGTTGCTTGACTTAAAAAAGAAGATGATTTTAACTTGACTTTGTAGATTCCATCACCAAATGTTGCTGAAGGACATCAATTCAAAAATGCTTCTTTAATGGCAGATCTAGCTGATGCAAGAATTATAACTGAAGACGAACTCGATTCAACCACCCTGAAAACTGCGATTGAAGAGTTATTAGGTATGTCAATGTTGCGTATGTTGCATAGAATGTTGCTGCTCTTGCAATTAGAATCATGCATGTAAATATTTCTGCACGGTCAAAAACGTTGGTAGGAAGTTCAAATTCTCCACATGCTTCGTTGACATCAAAGGATTCAACAGACCAAGTAAAACAATTCTTGTCTAAGGTTATAATGCTAAAGCATCTATTGAAGTAGTATATACTTGTGCTAGAAAGGTTTGCTTTTTCTGATAATCAGTATATGTTCATGAACATTGGTACACACTCTGTCTACTATGACGATGCTGTTAGTTGAAATGTAGAGTTGGCACCCCTTTTGGACCTTGGCATGTTTGCTAGATCTTTCTTGGCTTGTAATAATACCTTAAAAGATTTTCAGACTCCGCATTTCTCAAGTTTTCTGTAGAAATAGGCAGCGCCATACTCGTATAACTAGCTTTCTATAACTTTTTATGGCCAGCTGACAACAATGATACTCTAAATGCATCAGTTGGTATATGCTCATTCAAGATGCAAACTTTCTGCAGTTCCAATTAATATAGTACATTATCTCGGGTGTCTATGTCCTTGTTCTACGAACTCATTCACAGATTCATTATAACTTCAACTTGTAGTTAATATTGTCTGTTACGAATGAATATGGAAATTTTCATTGCAGAGAATTGAAAGAGATCGAACTTGGCCTCTAAGTATGATTTATCCTTAATTATTCTTGTGTTATAGGGGATGAGAAAAAAATGGCTGATATGTCTGAGAGGGCTCTGAAAGCTGCAAAGCCTAATGCATCGGCAGAGATTGTGCAGCACATTCTTTCGCTGGTCGATTTATCAACGGCCAAGAAGCAGCGATAGATTTTGACAGAGATTGTTTATTTTATCGGTGAGGAAAGCTATTGTGGTTCAGTAGATTTTGTTTCTCTCTTTGACAGAAGTACAGATGTTTCGTAGAAG